TAATCAAGGAGAGAAGCAACTTAAAACACAGGAGAAATTTCCTGGCAGTTAGAACAATTAATCAGTGGAACAGAAGTTGTGAATGCCCCAACACTGGAAGTCTTTAAGATGTTGGATAGCCATTTGCCTGAAACGGTATAGGGTTTTGCCCCATTTGACTACCCTTTCCTGCCAGGGTTGTTAAGTGAATCACTGCAGCTGTGTGTAACACGACTGTTAAGTGAATCTGGCTTTCCTCCATTGGCTTCGTTTGCCAAAAGGTTTGCACATGACTCTTGGATAGTGCACCCGTCATAAATATGAGTCAATTGCCAAGCGTCTGAACTTTGATCACATGATTGTGGGGATGCTCCGAGAGTTTCAAGTGTGAAAAATAGTCATAAGTCCCTTTTTTTGAGCCACAGTGGCGCAGTGGTTAGGGTGCAGTACTGCAGGCTATTTCTGCTGACTGCCGGCTGACTGCAATTTCGCAGTTCAAATCTCACCAGGCTCAAGGTTGACTCAGCCTTCCGTCCTTCCGAGGTGGGTAAAATGAGGACCCAGATGGTTGGGGGAAATACGCTGACTCTGTAAACCGCTTAGAGAGGGCTGTGAAAGACTGTGTAGCATTAGAAGGTATGTTAAGAGGAAAATGAATAGGCTAATACTGTTTAATTGTTTAACATACTATAATCTTAAGATTAGAGAGCTAATATTAATGTGAAGGATGTTGTAAATGCTGAAAGCTGATGCACAGCTGCATTTGTACCCAGACGACACGCTGTTTAAAGAAAGATAAAATGTTTGTATGTTGAAAAATAAAAAAAACTTTTTAAAAACATTGTTAAGCGGTATGTAAGTCTAAGTGCTATTGCTATTTCTCAGTGGCTTTATAACTGGCCACTAAATGAATGGTTGTAAGGCAGTGGTGGGCTGCAGGCGGTACACCTGGGTAAAGGTGTACCGGAGCCTGCCCAGAACACCGGGTACTGTTCCGGTACAGTGCTCCGGAGGGCCCAGTGGCCCGCCCGAGCTCCTTACCTGTCCTTTAAGCCTTTGGCGCTTCCGTGCATGGGCATGGCCCGTATGGCGCCTGTGCGACACTCCGCCAAGCAGCTGGAGCGTCGTGGAGGCTTGTGGAAGCGTCACAGGCAAGTACGACACATGTGCGGGCTGCGTGCATCCACGTGGGTGACGCCGGGGCCGTTCCAACCATACCAGAACCCACCACTGTTGCAAGTCGAGGCCTATCTGCATGTACCATATCCTAAAAGACTAGAAATTAATAAGAAACTGGTCTGTGCAGGAGTGTCTCCGAATCAAAAGCAAATGGATGCCATCTTCTCAGCTTGTAAAAGATTCTTGACAACAGAAAAATTTGCTATTTCCCCCTTTTCCCTGGGCATTACCCAGAAGGGCTCTGCCACACTTTGATGCCAGCCAAACATCTTAATCCACATTTCTTCCTCTGAATTCTTTATATTCTTCACAATCACGGGGTCATTTCGCTTCCCACCAGTCACCCTAAAAAATATCACTGAAGAAACCAACAGCTCACCTTCTCCAATTTATGCTGTTGCCCCATAAAACCTCAGCTTTATTTATCTATAACAAATAGAGCCTATCTGAAAAGGAGGTGATCAAATTTAATCTCTGACAACTAAGCTATTAGCTTTATCCACACACTGCTATTTTGTTAAGTGCCGAAACACTACTTTAGTCTTGCGATAATTTGGTTGGGCAAATGTTCACAGAAGAAGGGGGAAAAATGTTTTTGATGGCTTGTTCTAAAGGAAAACAGCCATTTATCAGAGGTTCTATTTTTTTAAAAAAAACCTTGTGTTGGAAACTGTAGCTTGGCAGAGCTGGTCCTTTCAAAACTTTCAGGGGGAAAAAAAATAATGTTGCTTGTTATAATCTTGCTAACAGCTTGGCCTAAATTAAAAGAAATAAATGTCAAAAGCCGGAGAAACTTCCTTGCATGCTTAGCCTGGCCTTTCAATGTGTAAATAAACCAAAATGAAAAGAGGAAAACTTCCCTCAAACCTTCATATCCAAAGAGGCAAATTAGGATAAATTTCCTTCCTTCGTCACGAAGGTTGCCCAAATTCTATCAGAAGACTTTTCTTAATACTGACAGTCACTGCTGTCTTGGTCTTAGGGAGTGTGTGTGTTTGTGTGTGTGTGTGTGTGTGTGTGTGTNTTTAGCCTCCAGTCCCCTAATCATCTTTGTTGCTCTTCTCTGCACTCTTTCTAGAGTCTCCACATCTTTTTTACATCATGGTGACCAAAACTGAACATTAAATTAGATCCATATCCTTTCACATTTTCCAGCGTATAAAAAAGATAAAGCTATGCACTGTAGACGCAGCATGGATTAACTACAAAAACAGTGGTATTCACTGTAATGCTAACAGAGATACAGCCCTATCTGAGCTAGTCTATGGTATTAATCCTTACCAGATTACAAGCTTAAAATAAACAGTACTGCTAGTTATTCACTGACAGTGATACAAAGGCATTAGAGCTACTCACCACTTAGAAATGTTTCCAAACAAAAGAGCTTAACTCTCTTCTGCCTTTCAATTAAGTTTGGTGTGGTAGAGGAAGGTGCACATGGCCCAGACCAATATACTTTGCACTGGCAAAGCCTGATAGCATAGATAGCATGACCACTGACTTCTAGTATTAGCCCTCTGTCCATTACATCAAGCAGTCGACTGGTGAACAGCTTTTGTTTTTCATTCGGGATGGATTCGGGCCCTGGAAACTTGACTTGCTCCAAATTAATAGGCCCGAAGAGTTCTTCTTGATCTGGCATAGGACCTAATTCTCCATAGAAAAGTCTGCAGCCTTGGGGATTGCTCACAGTCATTGTCTGCCCAAACTCCTTGCCACGATATTCAAACTTGATTTCAAGATCTGTCACTGAAGAAAAATATATTATTAATGTTTCAGGCGGTACAGCAGGAACCATAATTGCATTGAACCATATCTAATTAAATAAAATCAACACAAAATAGGACAGACTACAGATATTAGGAAACAAAAGATATAATTTGCCATAATTACAAAAAAAAACAACCTCCTAACAAATCATGGAGTCAGATTGATTTTAAAATAAAGCAAAGTTAAAAGACCTGCCATTATATGAATCCAGTGCTTACTCATAGCAACAATCTAATCACTTGTTATGCACAATGGCTACCCAATTAATGGCAAGCTACTCTAACATCATTAACCAACAGTTCAACAGTTTTCAACTATAAGTAGTCCTTGCTTAACAACCATTTGCTCAGAGCCTGTTTGAAAATATGACGGCACCGGACTAGGGACTTATGACCTATGCCTGAAATTACAAACACTGCTGCACCCTTCCAATGAGATGATAAAAATTTGGGTGTTTAGTGATGAAGGCCTTGAGATCACGGAGGTGATGCAATTCTGTCCCACCTACCTATGTCCTCCTCTCCTGCATCTGAAATACAGGCCCAGGACCTTTGACAATCTCAGCCAGCTGCCACTGCCCCAAGCCTTGATGTCAACCTCAACACCATCAACTCCCAAGCATAAATTCTACCATGAAACATTCTCCAAGGCAAGAAAACCTTAGGGCCATGATGGTGAGCCTATGGCACACATGCTACAGATGGCACACAGCGCCCTCTCTGTGGGCATGAGAGCCATCACCCTAGTTCAGCTCCACCACAAATGTGTGTGCGTCTCCTACCAACCAGCTGGTTGTTGGGTCTCTGTCGTGCATGCGCGTGGGGTGGGCTGTGTGCAGAGGGGCGGGTGTGCATGCATGTGGGCTGGGTGTATGCATGGGGAACACATGCACAGGGTGGCGCACGTGGGGGGGCTGTGTGCACATGCACGGGGGCATATGTACATGCACGGGGGGAAGGACCTGTGCGGGGGGCGTGCATACATGGGCAGGGGGAACATGCACAGGAGCCGCACATGCATTGCATTTTGAGGGTTCTGGCACACGCACGCTTTCAGAACTCAATCGGGAAAAGGTTAGCCATCACTGCCTTAGGGAATTGTATGATTGTCCCCATTTCCCAACACTCCCCCAAATCTTCCATCTTCAGGTGTTTTTCTCCTGCTGTTGAAAGGCCAAGGCTGCCAATGACAAGAGGCCTTTCCCAGAACTGCCTTGAAGCCAATTCTAGAAGGGCTTTGAAAGCCATTCGAACTGTCAGATAGGCCATGTGGGCCTCTCAATAGCAGGGGGGGGGAAACGCCTGAAAGCAAGTGATGCACAATGAGGAAAAATGTGCCATTCTCCAAGCTGTGTGAATCTTGGGGAATGGCACAATTGCCCCTGCTGTCCAGAGCTGCTGAGGAAATGCCACATGTTGCTTACCTTCAGTAGTTTTTCTTTTGCTGTTGAGAGGCCCATGCAGTCCATCCAATGTTTCATAAGGCTTCTGAAGTCCCACTAGCTCTAAGGAGGCTTCAGGAAAGAAGGCCCGGTGCAATTGAGAGCCACCTTGGTTATGCTGCACAAGCCTCTCAACAGCAGGACACACATTTCTGAAAGCAAGCAGTCTGCAGCCCATTGCTAAGAACACTGGAAATAGTAACAATTATGCCACTTCCCAAGGCTCTTGTGCTTTGGAGAACAGTGTGAGGTGGCATTTTTGAATGACAGCAACAACTCTATGGCTGACATTTAAACCTGGGGCAGATGGCTGAGACTGTAAAGGACCCAAACCTCTATTTCAGGCTTAGGCCCCATGCTTCTACTGAGAAATGCCACATTCAAGGTCATGCTTTGTGCCACACTGTAGCATCCTCCCAGCTTGTCCATGCCCTACACTGGACCTCGCAGGACTTTCTCCATCTGAGACCTCCTCAAGCAGAGCTTAATGGTTGCAACTGCAGGTGCCAAGATGATGGTCATGGACCAAAGTGGTCACATGGGCATCTTGCTTAATAATTGCAAGAACATATAACCAAATTCCAGTTTCAATTGTGGTCATAGGACAAGGACCCCATGTAGGTTTCTTTTACCAGGTGATGCCTATATATGTATTTTAAATCAGAACTGTATCCTGCCCAGACCAATTTGAATAATAACTGCAGAAGAATGTTTGTATTTGTTCAACAAGTCTTCCAGAAATGAAGCTTATTTATTAGAGGTGAGACTCAAGACTTTCCAAACAAAAGAGTACATGATTTGTCCTCTATTTATTCTAATGGCTCCTGAATTTAAAAAAAACTTACTAGGAAGAGAGCTAATCCAAAGTTCAGGAGAGCTGTACATATCATGCGGTAGAGCTGGCAAGGCAGGGGGCATTGGCATCTCCATATCTTCAGGTTCATTCTTTGGCCACACAGCTTCAGGGCTACAGGTCTCTGCACTGGCGGGAGCCATTGGGGAATCTAAGTAAAATAAATAAAATGTAATTATGTAATCCCCACTGCTTCCTAACATTTATAAAGAGATTTAATCATTTTCATATCAGACAAGCAGGTTGTTGTGGCCTACCAGCAGCCAGCTCAGCTGGCAGCAGATTTGGACAGTGAGGAGGTTGGGGGGGGGGGGACATGGGCCAGTCCTGGAGTCTGGTGAAGGCTCTGATGAGGGCTCTGTGCCGGAGGCAGAGAAGGGGGTCAGAGCTGTATACCAGCTATCAGCTGCCTTCAGAGTCAGACATCAGTGAGGCAGACAAACAGCTGTAGCCTGTTCCCAGTGTGCGCATGCACAGAATTGCCAGACTAAAGGAACAGCTAAAGAACAGGGATTGACCTGGGAGTAAGGGCCAGGTGGACAATGAATGGTCCCTCCCAGAGGAAATAAAAGAGGAACAAAAGGGGAGTGGAGTTTGCGGGAGGAAAGTGGTTCACTTAATTGGTTCATGTCTCTCCAAGACTCCTTGCCAAATTTTGTAGATATCAGCCTGTAAGCTCTCCAAATAAGATCTATGACTGTAAATCTTTCCTTGAAAAAGTTTGCTGGATGTGAATAAGCAGAATTTATAGTAAATTAATAAAATGGGTTTTTGTCAGGACAAAAAGGTTGCTTCATGCTCTTGGGAAGCCTCTGTCAGAACACAGGTATCATTAGACTTCCTTATATAAGTCAGTACAATTAACCTTGTACCATTGGAATTTTACCTCTCCTTTCACTTAATCTGATAATCTAAATTGAAAGCTTGAATTCTTTCCTTCTAGTAAGTCTTAGTGCAATCTAATACTTTTGGTCTATAATTCCCAGGATTGTCAGCCAAGTGAAAGATAGTAGTTCTAAAGCCAAATATAACTATATATTTCTAATCAGCATAGTAGTGGAGCTGCTTTGTGGGTGCCTCCCCATTGCAATTTAACATCAACCTGAAGCTACTAGATCAGATTATCCATTACTATGGAGTGGGGATTCACAAATATGCCAATAATATCAAGTTCTGCATTTCCTTTCTGAACCAACCAAGTGATGGCCTCAAGTGTTCTCAGCACCTGGAAGTTTTGAGGGTTTCAATGGCAGAGTATAGGCTTCAACTCAACCTTGGCCAGATGGAGTCACTGTAGGTTTTAAGGCCTCCTGGTTCTGGGGCTTTTCGAGCTGTAGCTCAGCATGGGTTAGACTTGCTCAGCCAGAGCTGGTATGCAGAGTTGGTATGCAGTCTACCACAACTTTTGCTTCTGTTCAAAGAGGTGTGGCAACTGTGGCCAAAAAGGTTTCACACAGATTTGTTTTATGCACCAATTGTACCCATTCCTGAACTGGGAGACCTTAGTCATGGTGACTCATGCCTAGAGCCTGGATTAGACTTCTCTGTCACTACATGTCAGGGAATATATGTTTCTGTAGTTCAGAGATGGTTGCGTAGTTGCTGCATTTATACGTCTGCAAATGTTAACATTCTGGCTAGGGGGCGCTCAAACAGCAAAGCACAGAACAGGAAATCGTATCAACCAATCAGCATGCAGGACGTGTGTTTCCACGCAATGTACAGTTGGGATTTGGGAGGTGTGCGCATCAGCCTCTCTGCAGCCATCTGCAACCTGCACTTACCCATCAACCCTAAATCAAGCTTTAGTCACCTCATGTTTGGATTACTGTATCACACTCTACATAGAGCTACCCATGAAGAGCATTTAGAAGCTACAGCTGATCAAAAATGCAGCCATGCAGGGAGGTTTTGGTGTTTCTCATTATACCTATGTAACACCGCTGCCCCATGGGCTGCACTGGCTCCCAGGTGCAATTTAAGGTGCTGGTGATCATCATCTATAAAACTTTCTACAGCATAGGGTAGGGTTGCTACAAGACCGAAAGAGAAGATCAAAAGAGAAAGGAAAGCTTTAGATGCAAAGCGTATGGAAAAAAAAGTGTCACTTGTAGATTAAGACAACTTGTTTTAAAAAATAACTACATGGCACCATCAAAATGTAATTTCAACAAGCTCTAAGTCTAGAAAATTAATGCAGAGGTATTTGTTGAACCAATGATGCATTAAAACCTGAAAAACCTGAACTTAGCTCCAGGGAATTCCAAGACTTTTAAAGCTGTTATATACTGCCTTTGCCAGGAAGGTGTGTCTGTCCCTGCTATGCTGTGGGAATTTACCTTCCCCTAATAGAGTATGGTATAAAATGTGTATGTGGGAGGGACAGTATGCCTCCATGGAAACATCCTGCTGTGGTCTAGTCTTCTTATCCTGTTTCAAATAGCAGAGGTGGACGCCATATGGCATGCATAAACTTATCTAGGGTTATAAAATTTTTGGATAACTAGCAAATAACAGCAAAGGGGTTGATATTTCTGTATCTATTGCCATCTAGTGGTTGTTCAGATCCCATTGCCATAACTTATTCCACCCTTTCATTAATTCCAAAGCTTTGGTGTCATAATCCTCCAATTAAATAAATTCTCAGCAGCAAGGGAGTGCCCTATGTTTTAAAATCCAACCTGCCTTACATCAGACAGACATGAAGCAAATAAAAGCAGGATTATGCCACACACATTTTGGAAGATATCAAGTCAATAATTAAGATTCTGAATTCCACTTAACATCAGATTAAGTGACTGCAGAAATGCAAAAAGTATCTCAATAAGTACATACACTTACCTGCATTTATTATTAAATATCTAACAGATACACAAAAATCAGGATGAAAATATTTACCAAGGAGATCAGCAAGTACCATTTGTGCTAAATACAATTTATATCTCTGTAGCATGTTGCATTTTAATGTAATTGCATCTAGAGATAAACTTTTGAGAAAGCCTTTGTCATAATGTTGTTTAGCGCAACATTAACAAAAAGAAAACAGCATTTTAAAACATAGATTTAAATTCAGTTTCATTAACCATATGTCAGAATAATCTACTAACCATTGATATTAAGAAATGGAAAACTCTCCTGTATTGCTACGTGCTGAGACTCATTTAATTCATCTTCATCTTCATCATCTACATCATTATCCTTCTCATCCCATGGAACTGAACCGGTGGAACCTGGAAAAATGTAGGAATTGAAAAATTAGAAAATAATTAAAAATCTAACAAAACCAAGACAAAATGGAATTCTTCTTTAGATCTGTGAGAGTGTTGCAGACTCTCTGAAACACTCTTTGGAATTTTTTTGATTTCCAAACATAGGAATGTCTGTGAAATCCAAAATTCATTTGGATTTTAGGTCTGTTGGCATAAAACTCTTCTCCTAGAATTTGAGAGTTTCAGGAGAATACTATAACGTCTGTTACTGAACTATGTAGCTAGAGTGTTAGAAAATAAATGGCAGATAAGGAAGTTTGCTTTCTCAAATATTTATTGGCCCTTCAGATTCAACACCTAACCCAAGATACAGTATTTCTTCCAACCATGTGCGGACAAAGCCCTGTTTATCAAACACGAAATGTACAACTAACGTTCCTAACAAATGTCATCCAGTGTAGCACTTTTTTTAGAATAGGGGCATTTACAATGATCCTCTTATTTCGGTTCAAATATAAAGGGAAAGGAAACCTATGGTCAACCATCAGAGACACATTAAAAAAAACTAGACCTCCCCAGGATATAGAAGAGTTGGAAGTAGAGGAGAGAAGATAGGAAGAGAGGGATAGGAGAGAGGGTGAAGGGGGAAGATGAGGTGTATAAGGAGGAGTGGTAAGGGGAGAGAGTAGAAGGAGAAAGAAAGGGGAAGTAGTATGGAAGTAGTATGGAAGCGGAAATACACCAATGAGAGGAAGAGTGGGAAGCAGAAGGGAGAAGAAAGGTGGGAAGAGAGGGATAGGAGAGAGGGTGAAGGGGGAAGATGAGGTGTATAAGGAGGAGTGGTAAGGGGAGAGAGTAGAAAGAGAAAGGAAGAGGAAATAGAGTAGTATGGAAGCGGAAATACACCAACAAAAGGAAGAGTGGGAAGCAGAAGGGAGAAGAAAGATAGGAAGAGAGGGATAGGAGAGTGGGTGAAGGGGGAAGATGAGGTGTATAAGGAGGAGTGGTAAGGGGAGAGAGTGGAAGGAGAAAGGAAGAGGAAATAGAGTAGTATGGAAACGGAAATACACCAACGAAAGGAAGAGTGGGA